AATGTAAGGTCAGGCAGCAGTGACCAAAAGGAGGCAGATTAAAAGGGCTGCTGAAGGAGACTTTATTGAGATTTGCTCCCAGTAGAGACCTCCAGACCAACAGGGTGATGGGGAGAAGCATGGGGCTCAGCCAGACTGGAATGTTTATTGTGCTTAGGGCAGGAAGGGAGGGCTTGAGACAGGAAAGGGGAGGTTTATAGAGTCCCTTATCCCACTGGGGTTGGTCAGAGGAGCTTGCTGAAATCCAGGATTGGTCAGGAGACCCCGCTGATTGACAGGTGGTTCTGCTGGCACCTGACCGTTGATTCTTGCGTGTGGGTTCCTTGGTGCTTTGTTCCTAAGCCACCTCAAACCGACCTGTCAGTAAAGTGTCATAACAACCTCCTAGTTTCTTCTTATTCACTGAGAAATTTTGTTGTCTAAAATTACAGATTCAGAGACTTTCCTGTTTGAATTTATATCAGTAGGAGTGAAATATTCCACCATTGCCTGGAGAATCTCAGAGAATCAACCCAGGTAGATGCAAAGCTTCTGATAGGAGTTTCTGAACAGGAAATTCAATCTTTATTTTAACTTTAGAGTTACAAGGAAATAGTACTCTGGGTCCACTTTGTAGTCTTGACACTCAAAGCTGTAAGGAAGTAAGGGCTAGAGATGTAGCTCAGCCATGAAATACTTCCTCTACCACTATGACCACCAACTATTTGTAAGTTCTATTTTCAGCTTTTGTTTTTTTTGTTTTTGTTTTTGTTTTTGTTTTGCCCTACTAGGGACTGAACTGAGGGCCTCACACATGCCAGGCATGTGCTTTACCACTGAGCTACACATCCACAGCCCTTACTCCAGTGTACTGACACATATCCTTGCTTTGCTTTGAGCCTGCCAAAACATTGCTCATTTAAATTTTCAATTCCATTCTTCCCCAGATCCTATAATAACATTCCTTGACATTTGTTCATGGAGATGTTTTGTGGTCCCTCTGGTGTGAAGTCTCTTACATTTCCTACGAAACCTGACTTTTATCAGACAGAAATGTTCCCGTTATGTGGCAAACTGGACAAGGACCTGAGGAAAACCACTTAGATTAAAATTCAGTTCTATCTGTGGGTTCTAAAGCCTTACAAGACAAGGATTAGAGGGAAGTAACCAATATGAAGAAGGATCAGGCAATAATGGTCTACAAACTGGGTGTGTGTGGGGTCATAACCAAGAGGAATAGGGTCTTATTCAAGTTGCTACAGAGAACAGAAACCGATCAGAGCTGAGGGGTGGGACTGAAAGGGCTCACATGAGGGTACATTCTTACATGACAACTCCCTGTACCTGGTGGGGATTGCAGATGCCAAAGGGGTCACCCTTACCTCTTACCAAGGTCAAGCTCAACATTTTTTTTTTTTTTTTTTTTTTTAGCTCTGGACTGTCTTGGCACAGATAGTAAGTTCTGCGGTGGCTCTCTGGTGTTTGGTTCTATTGACTCTAAAGCCTCTACTATGATTTTGAATAGTTTTAAAGCCACTGTTCAAGAGCAGACCCACAGAATCCTGTGGGTGCTATTTAAACCAGACATTCTGTTTCAGCTTTCGTGGCTAGCATGCTTTCCCCCTCTCATCTTGGGTGTATCTTTAGAGAAGCCAGTTTAGCTCTGGTCATTTTGAAGTGGGTGGTAGTATATAGAGAAGAAGTAGGAGAGTCATGTAAATGCTTAGACAAATGAATGTGAGATGATGTTGCCGAATGCTCAGTCCTTGTCCTCAATGTCAATCCAATAATGAGGACACAGTTTTGAGGAAAAGGAAAAAGGTTTATTGCTTTGCTTGCAAAGGAGAGACACAGGGGACTCCTGTCCCAAGGGCTGCGATTCTGCCCATCAGCAGAAAGAGGGGGCTTTTAAAGAGGTGACTTAAAGGCGACATTCCAGGTGTGTTCTGTCTAGAGTTATAATTCACTTGTTAATTTGGGAGATGGTCATTTCTGAGATCTTCTGGTGTCATCCCCAAAGTCTGGATTACTTCATTCCTAGGGTGGGTGTGCACTCAGGGACAGATAACTCTGGGGAAGAGTGGGGAAGAAAGGTAATCCTATTAGGGAGTGGGACAGATTAGGAAGGAGCAGGGAGAGAGGAAGAGAAAGAAACTTGTCCATTTAAAAAATAAGAGCAGCAAAGGTTATATTCAAAGCATAAAGTAGATCACTGTTATATTGGGACCCTGCCTGAAGCTCCTTAGAACTCTACAACCCTGTGTAGCATGTAGACAAGGTCACAAGTGTGTTCATGTGTGTGTTTTGGGGGGTGAAAGCTGATTCCTATCTACCCTCAGGTCTGGCAAACCTGAGGAAGCCAGTAACACCTCCTCTCCTCCACCACACACACATACATACCCCACTTGGGTTATGGTGGTTATCTCTGACCACAAAAACCACTTTGCTTTTCCAATATGTTGACAAATACTATGGATCCCATGTGTCATGGGTGAAGTGAAGGAGTTGGAAAGTACTGGTCTGAGGGTTCTGCAGACTGCCCTGTGGTTCAACAGGTGACCATGTGGTGAGGCCCTTTAGCATACGGTTAAGTCAGCATTCATGGACAGTGTGTTTCATCAGAAGCAGGGCAGTTGATGCCATTGTTTCTTGGGGAACAGGTTGAAGGATTAAAGATAAGAAGGCAATGTAACATTTTCTTCCAAATAAAGTGGTAGATCCAATACAATAGAACATATTCCATGGCATAGATAACACAAACTACATATCGTTTGTGTTGACCATTGTTTTCACTGGCTCCGGCCCAGTGAGGGCAAATTATTTCCCCATTATTATCCTCAAGCTTTCTTGCACCCACTGCCTCCAAATAAAAATTCTCATACACTGAAATATTGTTGGCATCTAGTCAGGGCTTTGGGCACCCAGGTAAGTGTTAGGTGTAGGGGACTCCAAAGGAGAAGCCCAGATATAGAGCACAGGCTGTTCCCTGCTCTGAGTTATTCCATGATGTAAAGAACAGCTGTTTCCAGGCTGCGCCTTGCCCTGATTTACTCCATTTTATAAAGCCTTAGTATGCCATGAGTTTCCACATTTTGAGTACAAGTGCCAAGGTAAAATGACTCTACACCTTGTTTTTGCAAATAAAATGTTGGAGGACAGATGAAGCTAGACATCAAGGAAGTAGCAGGAAGCAGGTTTACTGGCTGCATTCAGGTTCAGAGGGAAAAAGCTTTCACCATAAGCAATCAATCCCCCGAGTTCAGGAAGTTTTAGAACTTTATACCCAGTGTGTAAGGGCAGGGACTCAGAGGTTCACAATCTGCAGAAGTTCACATAACAGTAAGTTTTTTTTTTTTTTACTCTTCTTGACTCCCAGCTTCCAAGTTTTAGAAAAATAACCCCAAGGATGCTCTGTGAAAACTCAGTGTCTGAGAAAGAGAGTTTTTTTGTTTGTTTGTTTGCTTGTTTTTTGTTTTGTTTTGTTTTTCTTTCTTTCTCCCACCAGCTGGCTTTCAAGAACCTAACTCTGAAATGCAAAAGCCTCTGTGAAGGCCTTGGGTTAGTCTTTCTTATCACTCTCTGCCTCTGCAGGCATATCCCCCACCTGAAAATTCTTTTGCAGAAATTTTATTGAGAGTCCAAAATCAATTATGAACAATAATGGTGAGGTCTCTGGAGAAGCTTAATTAAGATTTTCTGTGGAAGAGGGGGGATGCCACCACAAAAGCACACAATCTGCCCAGCACAACCATAGGCACAAATTGATGAATAATCTATTTATGTCAATAAAAAGTTGACATCAAATTAAATCAGAAGCATGTGGATACTTGAGCATATCAAATCATATCATGAACACCAGACTCATGAGTTTAGCAATGTCACTTTACATAACCCCCTCACTTACAACCCACAATCACCAAAGAATCCCAAGACTGGATTGGCAGCATACAGATCTCATTGCCTGGTGAATGGTCACTAACCTTGGCCAGAAAAATTGGCCAGAAAATTTCCCATTCTCTGTTTCTGCTCAGGGCGGTTTCTCATGCCCATGATGACACAAAGCCCACTTTAAGCTACTCTGTGAAAATGTCTGCTTTTTGGACCCTACCCTCAACTCTTCAAATTGTTTCCTTAAATATCCATTTCTGGCTTCCTTCAGTGACTCTCTGCACTTGTATCTGCTCTCTGCCTTCGCTCTTGGTAAGCTTCTTGAAATCCTGCCAACTACCTTAACTCTTGCTAGAATGTAATATATATATATATTATGTGTGTGTGTATACACACACACACACACACACACACACATACATATATCTCACATCACTAAGCCAAAGTGACTTGCGCGTTAAAGATGTTAGTAATTAAGATGGGGATAACATAAAAGAACTTGTGGGATGGGGATATAGCTCAGTTGATAGAATGCTTGCCTTGCCTTACACAAGGCTCCGGGTTTAATTCCCAGTACCACAAGGGAAAAAAAAAAACGTAAAAACTTGTAAGACATTGTCTCAGTCACAACACTAGTGGACACAGAGTATCTCGGTGAATTAAAGTCAATGAAACCGATGTAGCAATGAAACTTATGTAGCTTGTGAATTAATCTTATTCAATAAGTCCTGTCATTGTGGAAAGACACAAATGAGCCTGGTCTACGTTAATGGCATAGGACGCTCAGGACATCAGAAGCCAAGCCGGATGTTTGCTTGGTGGCCAAAACAATTGCGTATTACTGATCAAAGATTAAAACTGGAGGCCCCGAGGCCTGGGGGGAATTCTCCTAGGGGCGGGACCAAAGCGCATTCCCGACCAGCAAAGTCTGGAAGCCACCACCACTTAGGGCTCGGGGGAGGACAGGAACCTGGCCGGGTCTAGTCGTCGAGCGTCCTGCGCTCCGAGGCATCTCGCGCCCGGAACTTGCGCAGCCGGGCCGAGGCGGTGAGCGGCCGGAGTCGGGGTTCGCAGCTCCGCGCATGCTCGCCCGACAGGTCTCCGCGGCCGCCGGCTGGGGAGGCGCCGGAAGCGCTCAAGCCGCCTTATGGCGCTGACCGAGGGCGCCAGGCTGGGGGCCTGGGAAGCGCAGGGAGAGGCCCCGGGGCGCGCGCCTCGGCGCTGGGCGCTGGCGCTGCTCGGGCTGACGGCGGCGTTGAGTTGGCCGCGGGCCTCGGGCGGCCTCTCCCGCCGCCACTGGCCGGTGCCCTACAAGTGAGTACGACGGCGCGCGCGGGCAGGGACGCGCGGTCCCTGGGGCGCGCGCACGGCCGGGCTGGTGACAGGGGTAGAGCGCGTCGGGTGCTCAAGGGCTGGAACCCCGCGCGGGAGTTGGGTCCGGCTTACCCCGCGGCGCGGAGGCGTCATTAGAACAAAGTTAAGGAGTGGAGTGTCTCAGTCGCCCTTTGCTCGCGGCCCCTGGGGCCCTTCTCCCTCTTGGACGTGGGAGCCAGAACTGGAGCAGTCTCAATTGTAGAAGAATCAGGGAGCAATGTTACTTTATCGAGTGACTTGTAGATTCTAGTTACTGCTTTTATCTAACTTATTTAACTGCTTAAAAAGTTTAAAGCATTTTGCATATTGCATTTATTACTTGTTTCACGCTCTGTCATTAGTACTGCATAACATTTGACATAATTTAGAGGTTGAACAACTTGCCCAGGTATTCCCCGGATTTTGCAGTTTTAAATACCCAAATCTGGGTTATCTCCGCCCTGAGTCCCAGGTAGTCCCAAACTGGGAAGGTTGGTCGCTTAATTTGCCACGTTCATCATGCTGGAGGTAGGATGCTGGTCATAAATCGAGACCCGCAAACCTGATTTGGAGACTTTGACCTAGAGCAGTGTTCATACAGCCTAAGACTGGTAAACAGCTATGGACAGAAAAAGAAAACATGGATGTCAGCATCTGGCAGGGGAAGGACCAGCAACATTTGAATACACACACCGTTTTGCATGACAAACTGATGAATCAGATGCAGGATAACCTCACAGCCTCATGATCAGGAGCAGAGTTCTAGATTCTGACTTCTGGGGATCAATTCTGGCTTCACCAGATCACCGACTGTAAAGTTATCCAGTTTCTCTGTGGGCACATAGAGAATGCAGAAAATAGGATGGTGGTTAGCACTTACCTTAGTGTTTTGGCAAGATTAACTCTACTGAATACCAGTAGTTTCAAGCCTAAACATTCATATATTCTGTGAGTGGAATGAATGTTTTTGCTTGATATATGTGAAAAGAGGTTTGGGGTTTGTTTTAGTTAGCTATTGATCATTGTGACCAAAAGACCCTACAAGAGCAACTTAGAAGAGGAAGAGTTTATTTGGGGCTCTTTTTGGAAGGTCTCAGTCCAAAGGCCAGCTGCATTCTGGGCCCATAATGAGGGAGCTCATCATGGAGGAAGGGCCTAGCAGAGGAAAGCAGCTCACCCTCATGGCAGGGTTATGAAACAGAGAGAGGGAAGTGGGAAAGGGATTGCAGGGAAGATGCTGTTCCAGGGCATGCCTCAGTGACCAGTCTTCTGCAGCCATGCCCCACCTACCTATAGTTACCACCACATACCTTAAAACTAGGATGGACTGATAGGTTACAGTTCACATAATCTAATCATTCCACCTCTGAACATTCCTGTGTTAATAGGAACCTTTTCCCCACATTTTTTTGGTGCATTGTATCTATACATATTGGTGGGATTTGTAGATACATATTTGTATGTGCACACAACAAAATAATTTGGAAAATACATGCCTCAGTGTTTCCCCTTCCCTCCCTTGGTAATAGGAACATTTGAGAAAACCCTCATATCCAAACCATAGGAGAGTTAAAGCTGATTTTCTTGAAAATATTAATACAATGTTACATGAAATAAAAATTAAGTTTTCAACAAAACAAGGAAGAGAATATAATCCCAAACTATGATTTAGTATTAGGGCAACATGTTGTCTATGACTTCTTCACTGTTTCTTTAAAGTTTCAATAATTAAGTGCTTGTTTCCCATTCAGTGATCCCAGTTGAATATATTATTGCCTTTATTAAATTCATACTTCAGTTTACTTTTCAAATTATCTTTGATCTAAAATAAATTTTAACGTGAATAATTATATGTTTGTTTAAACCAGTTAAGTACCTAAACTAAAATAGAATTTGTGTTCATCTGCTAGGATTGTAACAAAATACATCAGACTAGAACTTTTGGGAATCAGGATTCTTAGGAGTTAGAGGGCATTTCTTATTCTTGATTCTTTGAGTGCCAAGTATAGAAGGTGACCAGCATCTGTCTGGCTAAGTTCAGCTAGCTGGAGCCTGGTCTGATGCTGGGCTTTCTCAGGTCTATTTTGTTTTCTTGAATTATTGCAGGCTCCTCCTGACTGATCTCTCAGCCTTAATTTGGCCTTTCCTGACCCTCTTATAATTCATTGAAATAAGGTTTATATTAGGGCATCTTCGGCCCTATCAAATCTACTACTTTATACTCACTTGGGGGCTTAGTTCTGTCAGTTGCAGGGCTCTAGGGGCTGCTGCTGTTCATACTTTCCTAGTGACAGAATGATAACCCCTGCCTACCTCTCCTCTTCCCACTACTGCCTTGAAGACTGAACCTTCTGGAGATCCTTCTACTGTGTATGGTTGGATAATATTACCTAATGTTTTCTCTCCTTTTCTGTCCACGTTGTCTTAGTAAGTACATGGAAACCAAGGCCAGGTCCATATCTCCTTCTTTGTCCTCCCCATTCTCTCCCCATCCTCCACCATAGGACTTTATTTCCTTAGTTTAGCACTTGCCCCCGTGCACCCTCATGGCTGAGAATTTAATGTCTTCCTAGCTCCCACCCAAGACTCTGCTTTGTTTCCTTTCTTCCTAGTAGAGCCCTGCATGTTTTAGACCCTCAGCAAATGTTTTTGAACGAATGTTGATTAATTATTAAGTAAATATAGCACATATTCTGTTTTACTTGCTATTAAAGGCATCATTGTTGGATTGGGAATGTGGCTCAGTGGGTGTCTACCTGGCATGTGTGAGGCCCTGGGATTGATTCCCAACACTGCAAAAAAGAAAAGCTGGGCATGGTAGCTCACACCTAAATTCCCAGTGGCTCAGGAGCTCAGGAGGGTCACTAGTTCAAGGCCAGGCTCAGCAACTTAGCATGCCCTGAGCAACTCAGCCAGTTCCTAGCACCAGCAAATAAATAAATAAATAAATAAATAAATAAATAAATAAATAAAAGAAATCATAAGTTTGTTCATAGGTAACAAGTAAAATATATGTTTATATTTATTCAATATGGTCAAATCTTTGAATGTGTTTCCTTAAATGTTACTGACACTGAAATGAAAAACTGGACTCTAACATGTATGAGAACAACTAAATTCCTGTTAAAATCTAAGTTTACGGTTTCTCTTTTATTAGACGCTTTTCCTTCCGTCCAGAACCAGACCCTTATTGTCAAGCTAAGTACACTTTCTGTCCCACTGGCTCACCAATCCCAGTTATGAAGAGTGAGGATGTCATTGAAGTCTTTCGATTACAAGCTCCAGTGTGGGAATTTAAATATGGAGACCTCCTGGGACATTTGGTAAGGATGCACCCTGATCTTGTAACTTTGGTTGATTAAATGCTTTAGTTATTAAATCAATTGGAATAGTCACTATTCTAGTGGCTGCTTTTTTTTTTTTTTTACCACAAATTCATTGATGTGCCTCCCAACAGTATTTAAAATGAGTTGTCAAATAGTTATGATCAGATTTTATAACCCTGACAGTAACAAATGCACATGCTTGAATCCCTTTTAATGTAATGACTCTGAATGCAACTTCTCTACCCAGCTCCTGCAAAATGAGAAGGTAGGAATCCCAGAAGAAGGGAAAGGGCAGGCAGTAGAAACCTCTTGATTTCTAGGTCCTATTGTGGGCATGTTTCCAGGTTAGCACATCATCACCCTGAGATGTGGGTGGAGTTCCTTTCTGAGGCTGTGGCGTGGGGGTGTCTTGTACTTACTCTAAGCTGTAAGAAAATTATGAGTGTGATGACAGCACACACCCCTACTACCTGAGATGAGAAGCCATGGCCAAACCCAGAGTGGATGAGGGCTGGAGTTTAAGGGGCCACAGATTGGACACAAGAATAGCGACACCAAAAGGGATCTCTGGACAAACAGTTGTCCTTCTTGGTATGCACAGTGGTTCACCATGTTGTTGCGCATCAGGTTACCTGGACCCATGGCCACTTAACAGTTGCTCTCATAAGTTCATATCTTTACACAGAAAGTTATGCATGATGCCATTGGATTCAAGAGTACATTAACTGGCAAGAACTACACAATGGAATGGTATGAACTTTTCCAGCTTGGCAACTGTACATTTCCCCATCTGCGGCCTGAAATGAATGCCCCTTTCTGGTGTAATCAAGGAGCTGCCTGCTTTTTTGAAGGAATTGATGATGTCCATTGGAAGGAAAATGGGACATTAGTTTTAGTAGCAACCATATCAGGTACGTTTCAAAACTGTGGCGGTATTTGAGGATTGCATCAATATCCAAATGAAAGGAATTACTTCCATTGAGGCATTTCAGTAATGTTCTACTTCTTAGAGGTCATTTGAAAAATGTACTTATAGAACCACTACACTTTGACCCAAACTAGTACTTGTGCAGAACTTCACCAATAGATAATGAGTAGCTTATCTTTGGCTCTAATCCATGTTAAACAATGAATGGAAAGAACCACTTTGTACAATTAAATTAGACTTTCTAAATAAAATAGGAGGAAAAGGGAACCCATACTTGCCTGATTGAAGAACCAATTGGCTGTGCCTGAAAAAAATTTTTAGTGACGATAAATTAAAATACCATCTTGAGGGGCTGGGGTTGTGGCTCTACAGTAGAGTGCTGGCCTAGCATGTGCAAGGTGCTGGGTTCAATCCTCAGCACCACATAAAAATAAGTAAAGATATTCTGTCCAACTACAACTAAAATAATATTTTTTTAAAGATATCATCTTTATGTTGAGAAATAATAATAGCTATTAATCACATGGACTTACTCTGGGCCTGGCCCTATTCTGAGTGCTGTACATGTACATCATTTATCAACACAACAATCCCATTATAGAGATATTATTTCCCTCATTGTACAGATGGGGAAACTGAGGCACGGATAGGTTAAAGTTTTACAGCTAAGTGGGGCTCCAGCCCTGCCAGCCCTCCAGCCCATAAACCATTCTCTTAACTTTGGTACTTGCCTCCCCAAATGTATATGATCTTATAAATTTGAGGCACTCTTAAGCAATTTAAATATTTTATCTCTGTGATTTTCTATTCTTTTGGGAAATGTTGGAATCTTTCATGTGTTGCATTGTGGGTTAGTGGTAAAAGGAATTCAGCAGAACCTTATCAGTGTTTCATTAGGTGACATTGGGTCACAGTTTACCATGTTTTCCCATTGCCTCCCACATCAAATGCTACCTTTGCATTTTAGAAATAAGGGCTCACCCAGAGCACTTATAGAGGACTATATCCTAAACTGCTGTCTCCCCTAAAAGTGGAAACATCTGAAATGAAAGCACTGTTTGTGATAATAATTATTCAGTGGATCCAAGGACTGGGGAAATGATCAGGCTTTCTACTTACATAGCTTTTTTACAAATCATTTTAAGGTGCATTGACCTATAATTTGGAGGGAAAGGTAAAACATCCTTTGTCCTTTCACAAATAAGGAATTGAGGCTGAACCAAGCAATGGTTGACCTACCTCTCAAGGTCATGAACTAAAAACATTATGCTATTTTCTAGTCCTTCCTCCTCCTTTCTAATTGATATATCCCAAACCATTCTAACATTATGAAAGTGCATCTCTTAGCAAAACTTTGTTTATAGTTGCTGTTTCATTCCAAGCCAGTTCACATCTCTCCTTTCTCCATTTCCACCTACTTCATTATCTGAAGATTTCCCTTCTGACATAACTTGATCATTTGAACATGTGACTACTCTTCTCTGTAATGTTTGTTGTGTGCTGTTACTTAAGACTTTTAAGTTGTCCATCTGTCTTGTAATTAATGCTTTCTGTAACCTTTTCTTCATGTTACAAAACAGTGTTTTGCAACACAGCAGTGGCTTAGTTCTTAGGTACAGTGATGGCTTTTTGAACTTGAATACTTAAAAACAGTGTCCCCAGTTCTAAGAAAACAGGCTTTCTATTACCCCATAGTTTTGACTCTGTGAAATTGATAAAGGCAACCACTCTGTTTTACAGAGCATGAAGTATTTATTTTGTGGTCTCAAGTCTGAATAAGCAAAGAAAGGTTTGCAAACAGCGACAAAGTGAAATATTGGGGCCCAGTTTTATTGGGCATTATAAATGCCCAGATAATGGTTATGCCCATGCAGATTGCAGTATTTTTTAAATATTTGTAAAGATTCTTCTTGTCAGGTACAAAGTGTTGGCAGGAGAGAAGGTTAACCATCCTGGTGACTGTGTAGTTTATGAAGTTGGCCAAAACCATTTCCAGTTCAGTTGATTCATGGGAAGAATTTGCATGGTAGTGGGGAGGCCATCAGTAGCTATCACCTATATATACAGGAAGAAAAGAGAAGTACCAAATATTGAAGGTGGGTGCTTCTCTTAACTAGCAGGCCAGCCTTCTCCAACAGTTGCTTCTCAGGCAACTATTCATGCTCTGTGCATGCCATGCTTTGTAACACTAAAGTTCAGCCTTTTCCCCATCTCAGTTTTTCTTACACTCTCTTTTACCCATTCTCCTTCTCCTCTTCCATAGTTCCTTCCTTGCTTCCTTTTTCTCTTTTGCCTCTCTCAGGTTTGTTGAGTAAGGTAAAGAAATAGAGCTGCTGCATTTGTTTAATCTTGACTATAGCTTAAATGATTATAGAAATAATAAGACTCTTTATATGCATATTATATCTAATGTTTATAATATAGCCATGGCTTGAAGAATGGAATAAAAATTGGCTGAGATTAGATTCCTGTTGAAAGATTCAGCTTTGGAAGTTAAAAAAAAAAAATCTGTTACTTGTGTGTATCCATGATCTTAGGTCAGAACTTGTTAACTTAAAATGTCATTAGCTTTGATGTTCACATACTGTTCTTTTGCTTTTTTAACTAGGAAGCACATTTAACAAAATGGCAAAGTGGGTGAAACAGGACAATGAAACAGGAATTTATTATGAAACATGGACTGTCCAAGCCAGCCCTATAAAAGGAGCAGAGACGTGGTTTGAATCCTATGACTGTTCAAAGTTTGTGTTAAGGACATATGAAAAGTTGGCTGAATTTGGAGCAGAGTTCAAGAAGACAGAAACCAACTATACAAGAATATTTCTTTACAGTGGAGAACCTACTTATTTGGGAAATGAAACATCTATTTTTGGGCCAACAGGAAACAAGACACTTGCTTCAGCCATAAAAAAATTTTATTACCCCTTCAAACCACATTTATCAACTAAAGAATTTCTGTTGAGTCTGTTGCAAATTTTTGACTCAGTGATTATGCATAAATGTTTCTATTTGTTTTATAATTTTGAATATTGGTTTTTACCTATGAAATTCCCTTTTATTAAAATCATATATGAAGAAATCCCTTTACCTAACAGACAGAAAACATTCACTGGTTTATAGAACCTTAACTCTACTACTCATTTTTTCCCTCCAACCACTAGCATATCACTTTTTCATTTTTACATTTGTGGGTTTGTTAGCCTTTCTTCCTTGAGGCGGAAAGGTAAACTGTATATTGGCAGATTTGCAGCACATTAACATTTCAGAACTTTTTGAGAAAAAGCTGAAACCCTTATTATATTGGCCAGAGCGAGCATGTTAAATGTCTTGATTTCAATTTCCAAGCCTTTGTTACTACTGAGAATTATGGCTCGTATTAGGTATGTAGGTTCTTTGTTTTCAATAGTGACATTTTCTTGGTGGGAGCTACTTCTCTTGGTATGATATTTTTTCATTTAAGTGCTTTTTGGTAGTTTAGACTGACTTTATAGCTTTTATAACTTTTGCAACCAGGTATAATAATCTGGCTGCATTCCATTCACCTGGCTTTAAAGATTTGTTTAGCCACCTAAGCTGGAGTAGTTGTGCTTTCGGATATGATACAGTGTTACAAGAACAAAATTTCTGGATTTAAGCAGAGTAACATTTCTAACCCTTAGTTTCCTTCTCTCTAAAATGACTGTCATAAAAGATTATGTCAGGATTGTTACAAAGATTGAAGTCACTTTATATCTGGTGTAGGAAGTTCACAATGAATTGTAGCTGTAATGATTAATCAAAGAATAAAGTATCATCCTTTATCTTGCCTAATGTAGATTTCATGTCAGCGTTTTCCAGGTTTTTCCATCACCTAAACTTTGAGCTGATACTGTAATACTTCAGCAGTTCTTCAGACATCTGGGACACCGAAGTATCTGGCTGCAGCCATGTGAAAGTATCTCCCTTCTCCCACTGGTGTTATCAGTGCAGTGAAAGTGGGTGCACTTCCCAGAGAGAGGACAGGTTTCTGTAAAGGATCTTCAAGTAGCTATACTTGCATTAGGGCCATCAAACACACTCAAGGTTCTTTAAGTATGTTATGCTCAACTGTATATTTATTTTTTAGCTCATGAAAAACACCAGTAAGTTGATAGAGTGATGATCAGAGAAAACAACCTGTTTAATATGTAAATGCACCAATTACATTATTCAGTTTCAGCAAACACATGAGTGCTTCCTGAGAGGTGGTTAGTGCATTATCACTAAGCTCTCATAAAAAGCCTAATCATTGATATTACTTACCTGACCCAAATGAGAAAATTGGGGCTTAGACAGGTTAACTTCCTTTCCATGGCTACCTCACTAGTAGTAAGGGAGTCAGATTTTGAACTCAGGTCTGTTTTTCAGTTATATTCTTAACTGTAGCCCTTGAACCAGTGCCTGTCCACCAAATATTACTAGTCTGTGGGGAGATGTAAGTACAGATATTGATAGGAAGCATTTAGAAACTCTTAAAGCTGTTTGATGGATATTTTTTCTATTTAATCTAATAAAAAAAAATCTCTGGGGCTTGTATTTTGTATGTTTTTTTCTTATTTCTTTCACCTAGTATTTTTATTGCATTTTTGAAAGCCCCATCACCACAGATACCTTGAGAAGCACCGCACTAAACCATTCAGCCTACTGCAGAGTTTACATAAAGACTTCCTCAAATATAGAGGGAGAACTTTCTTCCACCGCCTCACTTTCAGCCTATCCATTCACATTAATTAGTGCCTAAGCCATTCCTAATGATGTTGCCTTTTAACGTGTGCTAATTGTCTTCAGAATATGTACAAGAAAACTGGATCTTTACATTATCACCATCTACTGGCTAACTCAGGCAACACCAATTTCTACAAATCTTAAAATTGCTATAAGAAGTTATTTTGGATTTCTAGAACTGCACTGAAGTGACAAGCAAAGAGTCTTATACCAAGTTATATAATCACAGAGCTTGGCTCCACAGCAGAAACAAACAAGGACTTCTGTACATGGACCTTGACTTTTAAAGCAAGATTCTAATAGTAATGTTTAAAAAGCATTCAAGATATTTTGTTATTCCTGATATTAATCAATTAAGAAATTCTGTGAAAGTACTATAATAGATTCAGGTGGGGACAGCACAGAAAGCATTCATGTTAACTATTTCCAAAAAATTAATCAGACCTGTCATGTAAATTATATAAGAAATAGAACTTTTAAGTAGAGATCATTTAAGAACATGCTTTCAAATAGCAGCTGGGAACAAGCCTGGGCACAATTTGCTGTTAATTTTGCTGCCCTTTGAGCTGCTATACAATTGTAACTTCTGTTAATTTGTTAACAAATGTACAAAATTTCCTCCAAGAGAAATGTCTTATTGAGATGTGAATATAAAAGCTATAGAATAAATGTATCCTCACTTATTAATCTGGCTTATAGGTAAGTTTACTCATAAAGTTCCATCTAAATACGGTTTCAGGTGAAACAGTCCAGAGGTGAAAATAACTACTGTAAACCCTCAATTAATATTAGGTTCTTAAAAATCAGAAAAAAATCACAACTTAAGGAAGTTTTATTGTTTTTAATACTTTGATAAAATGATGAATTATCAGGGAGTACTTCCTTTAAGATGACTTTATTTTTAAAATAAATTATTGGGAAATTATACTAAAAGCAATGTGCTAAAACCTCACATGCTTTTTTCCCTGTTCAAAAAAGTACTTGGGCTAGCCAGGTTTGTTTCTAGCATTTTCTTTACCCTTTATTGTCCAAGTTGCTTTCTGTTCTTGAAATTGTCCTTTCTAGACTTTCTGTTTAAAAGAGGATGTTAGGCTCGGGTCGTGGTTCAGTGGTAGAGTGCTTGCCTAGCATGTGCGAGGCCTGGGTTAGACCCTCAGCACCACATAAAAATAAACAAACAAAATAAAGGTATTGTGTCCAATTACAACTAAAAATAAATTAAAAAAAGAAGATATAGGGGCTGGGATTGTGGCTCAGCGGAAGAGTGCTCACCTAGCATTGTGAAAAATAAAGATAAAGGCATTGTGTTGTGTCCATCTACAACTAAAAAAATAATAAAAAATATTTTAAAAAGAAGATATTATTTATTGAGCTGATATTCTAAGGAATATCCCTTAGTTCACCTTTGCAGGGAATGGCTTTATGTCTTCTTTAAAGGAAAGCTGGGTGTCAGCTAGCATGTTAGATTTTCCCCGACTGCTCAGTAACATCTAAATCAGCCCCACATATTACCTGGGATCTATCACAAGTACAAAAATGCTTTCTTAGAATGGAAATTATTTCATCTTCAATCACACCTATTGGCTTGATAATGTTTAAAACAGCCCAGAATACCAGAGAAAATCAAGTTTTTTTCTAAAGCCCATTTAAGACAGGAGATGAAAAGAATTTCTATAGTTTAAAAACTATTCTGATTTATGTAAAGAGATTTCTCTCTAAAAAGGCTAGCAAGGTTCAAGGACACTTTAAGACTAAGAATTCTATTTATAAGTTGGTTTTGTAAGTTCTCATTCTAAATGAAGAAAGGCCTATATTTTTAATTAACCTTTTTTTTTTTGTACAAATGTAAAAACTAAATTTACATTTCATGGTAAATTTCACAGGCATGAGAGCTTATTTAAAGAATATATTCCATGTGCCTAACATTTTAAATTCAAAAAAGCCAATCTACCATAAAGTGTTTAATGTTAAATATTCTATCAAATACAGATTTGAAACTAAACCATAAATTGTGGGTAATTTTTTTGAGGTGCTGGGGACTGAATTCAGGGTCTTACATATGCTGGGCAAGCATTTTACAATTGAGCCACAGTCCAAGCTTAACCAGTTTTAAAATCGAAATAGGTATATGTATTTGAGTGGTTTGAAAAAAAAATTCTTAAGGTTTCTTAGTTTCAAAAAATATATTTATTTTTGGTTGTGGATGAACCTTTTATTTATTTATTTTTATGTGGTGCTGAGAATCGAACCCAGTGCCTTACACATGCTAGGCAAGTGCTCTACCACTAAGCCACAACCCCAGCCCCTGAAAAAATTTTTTAATAATACAACACCATTAGTAACTATCTTTATTCTCAAATTGATAAAAGCATTTTACATATTTTACAGTATAAACAAATTAAGTGCTATGCATTTTGCTTATAAAGTGACAAAGTATTTCAAGCATTATACAATTTAATTTGTACAAAAAGTAAATTTTCAAATAAAGCTTTGGTTAGTAGAACTAATCATGTAGTGTCAAATCCATTTTCCAAGTTAAAAAAAAATCCACGAGGCACAAGTATTTCTTGTACAAAGCTTTTTACTATTTGGTAAGGTGGAGGGGGAAATACTACAATAATTGCTTTTAACTTTCAAGTCCAGGTGAGTCTTTTTTATTCTCATTTATATGTGACCAAAGGGCAAAATATCACTTTTGAAAAGCATAAGTTATATAGAAAATAATTTTTATTTCATTCTTAGGAAGGTCATCTATTTAAAGATTGTTAGCTTCCATTAATTGTCAAAATACTTTCTAAAAGTCACACTACTGAAAAGAGCCATTTCAAGCATTAATGTATTATTTCATTAGGGGTAAATGGCTTCTAATTTCTCTTAGGAGGGGAGTATCTACTACACTATAGTACCCAGAATCAAAATTTATATTGTATCTAAAACAACTAAATACTAAATATAGCCCCAAATTTAGTATTTATACAGAGTCTATAATGCATGGAATTAACTTTATTCATATTAAAGTAATATAAAATGCTAACTTAAATAATATAAAATATTAGTTTAACCGAATTAACAATCACAAAACTGTATTTTTCTATTAAAATTTTCCAGTTCACTGAGCACTGTTTACTCAAATATAAGGTAATGAACTTAAATATATCCTTTTTCATATTTTCTATTTATGCTCAACTATACACTAGTGCTCCTTTAAAAAAATTCTAGTTATATTAACAATATAATTCCAAAATGGAAAGATAGGCCATCACTAAAATTCACTGGAGACTAATATTCTTTCTTGGAAACAATTTATAAAACATTTTAAAGTCTACCTTTAATTATTTCAGCTTGGCTTTTTAAAAGTAGATAAGCTTTTCATTTCAATTATAGTAAAATACTTCAAAACTAGTTTAAGCAAACAGGCAAAACCAAAGAGAACTGTTTGTAAAGCATTCCTTACTTTACATACAATGCCTCAAGTGCCACAAACATAGTAACATATCACAAGAGAACTTTATATGATTTAGCTGATTACAGAAAAAACCTAGATTTATACAAAGCTAAATACTGTCTACTTTTTATATTCCACTTATTTCCTTTCAGTTTGATCTTGGCTCTGTGTGTTATCCTTCTATAATAACCACTGTGTGACATTTATCAGTTTTCTAAGAATTCCAATTACTTATACATCTTTTTTTAAAGAGCAATGAAACATATGAGAACATTCAACCAATCTTTTTCATTAGATATGGATATATCCTACATTTTTCTCACAAAATGCTCACTTTCCTGAGCTATATTAAACACCTTATAACAGGTGTATGTATAACTGAAGATCCTAAAATGTCAAGTTTACATTTTTTTAAAAAATGCATAGAGAACATTTCGGAAAACCTATTAGTACTTGCTTCTTGAATATTATAATACATAGGTTTTGTTTCCTTCAGACTATGAACTGTTTAATCTTTACAAATGGTTATTACTTTCTAATCTGAAATCAGGTGTTTTTTTTTTTCTTCACTTAAATGAGATTTGATTGCTAACAGACTAAAGAAACACATGGATTTTTCTGACCAAAACTGATTTATAGATCTTCTAGTAAACAATTCTCACTGAAGATATCAAATTTCTGTGCCACAAAATAGAATTATATCAGAACTACAGCAAATAAACTTTATTATAATACAGTTGCTTGAAGTTAAGGTGCTTTTCATTATGCCCTACATTATGCAGTCCTTACCAAGTAGGCATCATATCTGGAAACCATACCCTACCAAGATGCTTAGATACTTCCCAATGAATCTGCTCCAAACTATACTTTTGGTCAGGAATTAATACTTCTTCCATAATGGATAACTGAGACAGGCGGCCACCACACATCTTCACAAACTCAACAAAGGCACTACATGAGACTTCACATTCCCCTAGTCCAATAGCTGACAAATTTTTGCAACGTTCTGCAATGCGAATTAACTCTTCATCAAGTGGCCGTAATCCATTAGCACACACTACTAGTTCAACTAGTCTAGGGCATGTCATTCCCACACGGCCAAGCACATCTTTGCTTACTGATCTCCCAAAGTAAAGATGAGTGGCAGGTATCTCATAACGAAAAAATGGGTCAAATTCTTCTTCATATAAAAAAAAATACATCACTAAGTTCACTTTGGGTGAATGTTTGATGAAAGCATCCCAGCTGCTCTTCTGAATAGTATGGAAATGTGTTTGTCCAGGATTCTCACTGACTACATCAATGCGCAAATGTTCTAATCGCACATGTTTTTCAGAAGACAGAGCAAGTAACAACTCATCACTTA